AGCCCTCCGACGTAACGGTCCACCCGCTCCGCTTCGTGCATGTAGCCGACTTGCTCGCATAATGCGAGAAAACCACTCGTGTAGTCTTGAACCGACCCGAGCTGCCGCCAAGTTCGCAGCCTCTAACGCGCCGAAATAGAAGCCGTGATTGGCTCGAAGCGCACCCGAAGCCCTGCGCACCACGCATCCCACGTGCTGTACTGGGCGGTTTCGCAGAATGAACTCCAGGTGACAGCTGGACCCATGGGCCCTTCCTCTTGCGACGGTGGCTCGTAGGCGCGTGGCGACGTCACGATGACTCGCCACCAGTCCATGGCGGGGCCCCTCAGCAGCGAGATGGCATATCGGATCTTCGCTGCGTCCGACTCGACGTAATTCGCGTCGAAGAAGACGTTCATCGTGAAGACCCACGATTGAACCTTCGGACCTCCACGTTGGCTCGGGTCGAAGCAGGGCGGGCGTTGCGGCTTGAGTGGCATTGGTGCCATAATGGCCAGTTCGCCACTTGTCGCCGTAAACTCCACATGCCGACGGTCTTCATGAGGCCCCCGCGGGCTTGGTGCGACCCTGTTTCCCCCCATGCCAGGCATTGGTTCGGCGGCGCCATAACTGGCTGCACCTGAGCATTGTCCCACGCTGTCGTGTTGTGTTGGTGTGCGGGACGAATGACGATCGGCTCGTCCGATTGTGCAGATGCATTTGTCAGTGCGTGTGGTGGCGCTGGAGTATTCACCGTGGATTGCTGACGCGCGGAGTCACGTTCCGCCGTGAGCGTCGCAATTTCGAGCGGCGATTCTTCAACTTGGCGCACCAGACGGTCAAGTTGCTCCTGCGTCAACGTCGCGAGCGTGAATTCGGCCATGGCGGGGGTGTCGGGCAAGCTCAGCGAGAGCCTCTGTCGTGGCCGTGCGTGCTTACGAGAGAGCACTACGAGCGGCGGTGCTGTGTCGCTGAGAGACGTCTACCCCCCCAAAAAATTGAGATAGTGGGGAAGCGAAGGTGTGGGTGCGGTCTGAGAAGAGATCGTAGGCTCTGAATACCAATTGTTACGAGTGCAATTGGGTGATCGAGCGAGAATTACACTATCGAAGCAAGAGTCCAATTAGCGAAGGCATGAGCGAATAATATATAGCGAAACTACAGTGGTAACGGTAATGGACTATGGTTGTCGCGCGACGAGCCTGGGACTCAGGTTTGGGGAAATGTCGAAGCGGAGGTCCGGAGCGCGGGTTACCCGCCGAGCCGTGAGGTCGGGGTGCGATGTGCGAAGGTGGCGGGAGGATTGTCGATGCGAGGGTTGCGATTGGTAAAGGTGCTGACTGTGGTGCTACAGTGGTGTACGCGCTGAACGGGGACGCGAAGTAAGGAAAAGCAATTTTCCTTACAGTGACACACAAGATTTGGCTGCAAATACACAAACTCAATAGAAAACAATATTGCTTAGGAAAACAAATATACTTATAGGTCTTTAAATCTTCTGCCATTAACTACAATCAATGGTAGTAAAAAATTACCATGAGTAGCAACGAAATTAAGAACTAGTCTTAGAAGCATGTTATAAAAAGACATAGTTAGTTGCTTTCTCTATATACCATAAGTATAATATCAAGCAGTTCATGTCTTAGCACGAGAAAGTATAAGTCCTACGCAAGGCTTTCTTTTGGTTTTAGAGTATACTGGTTTCCAGAGGCGTTTTTGTCATGACTCTGGAATTCAGAGTGTCTAGCATGAGAAAATGAACGAGAATGAATTGACCAAGGGAAAGTTGGGTACAAGTACAAACCCTAGAAAGTCGTACCCCATATGTGCTACCCCACTATAGCCTACAACAGCTATGTCATATAAATCTGACACACCCCCATAGGCAAAGTGGGGGAGAACAAGGGGTCACAAGACCAGTCAAGCAAAGCAAAGCAAGCTCAGGGTGTAGCACAAAGTCACCACACATTCCGAGCACAAGTTCAAGGCCACAAGGCCAGTTCACATGCAAGAATACACATATATATATAAGGCTAGACAAGCAAGAGCAGGTGTATATATACATGTAACAGTACAAACAAGGTCAAGTGGTGAGCAAGTGAGGCAAGGCAGGCACAAGACCCAGCTGAGTACAGAAGCGTTGATGATCACAAGGCGCAAGCGCCTTGGTGAAGATATCAACAGTGTTGGCCTCAGAGGCCACGTACGCAAGGCGCAGCTGGCCACGCTGCTGTAGCTCACGAGCAAGGAAGTAGCGAAGAGCAATGTGCTTCGTTCTATGCTCAAGTCTCTGCTCCCGACACAAGGCTAGCATGGCCTTGTTGTCTACGTACAGCACTGGAGGAGAACGAGGCGGCTCTCCGAGGTCAGTCAGCAGGTAGGTGAGCCAGCGAAGCTCCTGTGCAGCCATGGCTCCTGCGTAGATCTCAGCCTCACAACTGGAGCTGAGAACAGAAGACGAGCGGGTAGCCCGCCACGAAACAGAGCCGGAACCAAGGCTGAAGGTGTAACCCTGTGACGACCCCTGCGTAGCCTGGTCGTCAGCCTAAGAAGCGTCTGCGTGCCCAGTGAGGACCACTGGACTCTGCCCTCCAAGCACAAGCCCCATGCCCGACGTACTGCACAAGTAGCGCAACACCCTCTTCGCTGCAGCCATGTGCTCTGGTCTGTGTCTCCCAGGAGCAACATAGCGTGCCAAGATGCTAAGAGGGTATGCAAGGTCAGGTCGTGTGCAGGTCATCAGGTACATGAGGCAGCCAACAAGCTCTGCGTACGGGCCACTCGGCTCTACGGACTCATCCGAAGGCAGAGCTGAGAGCGAGTGGCGAGTAGGCAGAGGAGTGGCCTGAGGCGAGGAGTACGCGAAGCCGAAGCGCTGAAGGACCTGCCGCACCATGTGTGACTGAGTTAGGGTAATGGTGCGGCGTGCTCTGTCCCCGGTGATTTGCAGGCCAAGGTAGCTGCGCAGTTCACCCAGGTCTGTGCACGTGTGTCTCTTCTGCAGCTTGGACTTCACGCGGGCGAGTCCAGCAGTGTCAGCTGTGGCAAAGACCAAGTCGTCGACGTACACGAGGATGTAGAACGGCGGCAAAGAAGTGTCGGTGCGCAGAAACAGCGACAGGTCGGCAGTAGAGGGAGCAAACCCAAGAGCCGCAAGTGTAGTCCTCAGTGTGTCGTGCCACTCACGCGGTGCCTGGCGGAGACCGTAGACTGGCCACCGGAGGCTCCACTGGGTACCAGGAGGAAAAGACCCTGTGAAGCCAGGTGGGCGACGCAGCCACATCTCTTCGTGCAGGCTGCCCTGCAAGAAAGCAGTGCTGAAGTCAAGAGAGTGCAGCTCGTAGTCACGGTGAGCAGCTATGTGCAGCAGTACCCGAAGAATGGTCATCTTCGGGGTGGGAGAGAAGGTCTGAAAGTAGTCAACTCCCTGCCGCTGACTGAAGCCACGAGCCACGTAACGCGCCTTGAAGACAGACGGAGAACCCGGCGGCCGCTTCACCCTGAAAATCCACATGCCACTGACGATGTTCGCCCTAGGCGGGGGAACCTCGTCAACGTAGGTGCATGTGGACTTCCAGGAAGCCATCTCTGTCTCCATAGCTACCTGCCACTGAGAGGAGTAGGGACCCTCTATCGCCTCCGCGTAAAAGCGCGGAGTCGGGATGTCAAGTGCATCCGGATCTCCCTCAGGGGTAAGCAGTACGGACACGAGATGAGGTGAAGCAGCAGCCAAACACTGGAACTCCTCCTGCCTGTCCTCAAGGACGTCCGTGCTAAGGGCACACTCACCCCCGACGGACGGAGGACAGACAGACTCAGACTCAGTGACAAGACTAGCAGCGTAGTCTAGACGACAGCGAGCAGCAAAGTCGACGAGCTCAGCAACTAGGGCAGATGCAGCAGTGGACTCAAAGGAAGGGTCAGTGACGAAAGTAGCAAGGAGACGCGTTACAGTAGGACTGGCAGCACGAAGAGAGTCCGACTTCGGGTCGGCAAGAGCAGGAAGAGAGGACTAAGGAGGAGAAGGCAAAGGGGCACGCAGAGGAGCAGTGGACGGACACAGAGACATCCGGTGCGTGCCAGGGACAGGAGGAGGACGCTGATGCGAACCACGACCACTAGTGCGAGCAGGACGGACAGGCGACGCAGGGCGAGACGCAGGCTCACGACGCTCAGTAAGACCTCCAGTAGGACCAGTGTAAGGAGAAGGAGCAGGCAGTGGGGAGGCCGGCGATAACTGTAACTGTGACGGGACAAGCTGTGGACACTCTAAGGGAGGAGGAGGACCAGTAGAAGGCGGAAGACCAAGAACCTGCTGAAGGAGCGGAACGAAGTACGGTCGAGGCCGCGCGGCGACTCCAGACACAGCAGGGACAGCACCAGTACCCCCAGTGGTAGCACCACTGCCAGCAGCACCTCCAGCTCCAGCACCCCCAGTAGCTCCAGTACCTCCAGGACCTCCAGCAGTACGAGAAGCACCCCAAGCAGGACCGCCTCCAGGACCGACAGTAGTAGCCTCAACGCCAACACCCTCAGCAGCTCCAGCTCCAGTCGTACCCGCAGGCCCAGCAGCTCCAGTACTCCCAGTACGAGCACCTCCGGGACCCGCGACACCAGCACCCTCACTAGCCGAAGAACCTCCAGCTCCAGCAGCACGCCTCCAGCGTCGGGCAAACCACTCGCGCAGCTCCTGTGGAGAGAGTGGCTCCCGCCGAGACGAAGCACCCGGAGAACCTCCAGGCACAGTACCGCCAGACGCGACACGAGCAGGCCCAGCTCCCTCAGGCTCCGCACCCCTAGGCTCAGCACCTCTAGGCGTAGCACCCCCAGGCTCAACACCCCCAGTCGTAGCACCCCCAGGCTCAGCACCCCCAGGCGTAGCACCCCCAGGCTCAGCACCCCCTGGCTCAGCACCCCCAGTAGTAGCACCCTCAGGCTCAGCACCCCCAGGCGTAGCACCAACACGCTCAGCACCCCCAGAGTCAGCACCCCCAGGTTCAGCACCCTCAGCAGCACCAGAGTCACCAGCAACCTCGACAGGCTCGACTACGTCTACTTGGGACACACCGGAAGGGGCAGGACCCTGAGGGGGGAGGGGGTCTACCAGGGGGGGGACCTGGCACAAGGAAGAGCGGTGGCGGGGGGAGGGACGGAGTGCGGTAGGGGAAGAGGCGGTAGTAGGGGACCGACTCGTCAAACGTGACGTCCTGGGAGGACAGAACACGGCGAGAGGTGGGGTGGTAGAATTGCCACCCAGGCGCGTCAGGGGGGGAGCCAAGGAAGACACAAGGAGTAGCACGAGGGGACAGCTTGTCCGCAGACAAGTCGCGGACAAACGCCCGAGATCCCCAGACACGGAACGCAGACGCATCGCCAACCTTCCCCATCTACAGCAAAGCTGGGGAGGTCTCCGGCATGGAGACCCTGGGCTGAAGGTTGATCTGATGCGCCGCGTACCGAACCGCAAACGGCCACAGAAAATGGGGGGCAGCCGCATGCATCATGGACGTACGGGCGACGTCCATGACCATGCCAATGCGGCGCTCAGCAATCCCATTTTGCTGTGGAGAGTCCGGAAGCGTGAAGGTCTGGCGGATGCCTCGTGCACGACAGTAGGCTCGCAGAAAGCCAGAGGAGAACTCTCCGCCTTTGTCAGAGTGCAGACGCAGAACAGGAAAGTCCGAGCCGAAGCTCTGCCTGAGTTGGAGACGAGCTGCGCGGATCCAGTCGATCAACACCTCAGTGACATCACCCTTGCTGCGCAAGGGGAAGACTGTGGTGTAACGCGAGTAGTCGTCAACCACCAGCAGGAAGTAGCGCTCGTGACCCTGTCCACGGACACGGGCTGGGCCCCACACGTCCATGTGAAGCGTATGCAGCGGAGCCTCTGTCGGAGGAAACTAGGAGGAGTGAGGGGCAGCACGCTGCCGCCCCTCGACGCAGGGGACGCAGGCAGGGGCAGGCCCCGGGGGAAGGGGAGGGAGGGACCGGGGAAGACCAGAGACAAGGACACGGGAGGCCATGCCTCGGAGACGAAGCAGGGAGGGGTGACCAAGGCGGTGGTGCCAGAGGAGAGTCTCGTGAGACAGGAGGCGACACGAGCAGGGGGCAGACTCAGGACCAGACCTGGACGCTGCAGCAAACACCTGACCCGACGCAGCTACCTGACCAGACGCAGTGACAGGAGGAGACTCAGTGGTCAGTGTGTACAGGCTCGACCCCGGCCGACGTGTAAACGTTGCCAGGTGTCGGCCTATCCGAGCGTCCGTGCAGTGGGTCACCCGCTGACTCGCAGGAGTGAACTGGTGAACCCCCGCATCCTGTAGGTCAGCTTCACTCACCAAGTTCGTAGAGAACGAGGGGAGGTAAAGACCAGACAGGGTGCCAGAGGGGGCCGCCGGACACGGGAGGACAGTGGAGAAGTGAGCAAGGACAGGACCCCCGGGGGTCTGCCAGAGAGACTGCAACTGGCCGACCAAGTGGCGTGAGTGTGGTGCGGTCTCGAAAGAAGGAGCGAGAAGCCCCCGAGTCAATGGTGAAGGTGTGGGAGGCCGAAGCCGACGCGGTACTAGAGAGAGCAGACTCACCAGCACCAGAGGAAGCAGACGCACTGGCACCTAGAGCAACAGCCTCGCTAGCACCTAGAGCAGCAGCCTCACCAGTACCTAGAGCAGCAGTCTCAATGCCCGGGTCGGGCGGAAAACACCGGTAACAGTCACCCTCATCACTAATAGTCACAGCCTACATGGCAGCAAGAATAGCATCAATGTCAAGGTCAAAGATAGCTACTCCCGCCCTAGACAGCTCGCCCCAGCGAGGGATCTCAGTGGCCTCAGGGAACTGGTGACGCCAAGCGTCCGTCAGGCGGCCAAAGTAGCGCTGGGTGGAGTGCGCACCCCCGCACTGCTCACCCGCGCGGTCGCCGGTGCGTAGGACATAGGTGCACGGACCAGTACCCCCACCCCGCTGACGTGCAGCGTACCACTCACGGAGCTGCTGAGGGGGGGGGATGTCACGAGTGCGCTGCTGCTGCTGGCGCTGACCACCACCGGAGCCGACCCTCTGCGCAGCGCCACCCCGACCAGCTCCGCCTCCTCCGTCGCCGCCTCCTCCTCCGCCCCCACCTCCGCCACCTCCGCCCCCACCGCCACCGCCGCCTCCGCCTCCGCCTCCACTGCTGCCACCTACACCTCCACCCCTGCCACCACTCCCACCACCACCCCCACTCCCTCCACTGCCGCCACCGCCACCTCCGCCACCCCCGCCAGCCCCTCCAGCGCGCTTGCTCCCCTTGCCCTTGCCGGTGCGGCATCTCCCGCTCGGGGCAGACGCAGCGCCGACCGACTCGAAACCAACGAGGTCGGGCGCAGCAGCAGAGTCAACAGAGGGAAAAAGGGGGGAGGGGGAACACCCCTCAAAGACGGGGGTGCGAGGGTCACCACGAGAGGCTCCTACAGTGACTATGCTCTTCTTTGCAGCTAGGAGGGCCTTCTCGAGGAGGTCAACGGTGAGAGTGGTGGGGCAAACTGAGAGGAAGTGGTCCCTGACTACGCGGAGAGAGTCAGGGAGCCGGGTGACTATGTAGTAGAGGGTGATGTACATGGGGGGTGGGTTCTTGGCGCAGAACTCAGCAGGAAGCGCAGCGCGGTAGCGAGTGTCACTATTGCGGAGGTGCGTAATGAGGTCAGTGACTGTGGGAAAGGCAGCAAGGTCAGGGAAGAGGTACGGTAGTATGAGGCGGCTCAGTGCAGCAGTGGCAGGGGAGGAGTAGCGTGCAACTACAGCGTCGTACAAGGTCTGAGCACTCTTGTACTGGCTAAAGTGCGCACGCTTAAAGGTAGGCAGGTGGCGACGCACAGCAAGACGTGCAGCAGCATCGCGTGTGGCCCACTGTGAGCGAACAGTGGCGTCAGCATCAGCAGCAGGGGCAGGAGAGGCACCAGAAGTGAGGTCAAAGAGGGAGAGACCGTCTGCCCTATCGCACTGTAGGAAAAGCTGCAGGTCATCTACCCAGACGTCAAAGTCAATGGCCCGACCCTCAGCGTCAAAAGCGAGGACACTAGGGGTAGCCATGACAGCAGTAGACTAGCAGCGCGAACAGTAGGGTAAGGGCAGTGCAGTGATAGAGGCGCTGCTCTTACCGGACAGGGCGGCTCGGGCGGCTCGGCGGCTCGGCAGTAAATGCAGCTCGGCGACTCGGCGGCTCTGGCGGCTCGGGCGACTCGGCGGTACGGCGGCTCGGCAGCAACTGCGGCTCGGCGACTCGATGGCTCTGGCGGCTCGGGCGGCTCGGCGGTACGGCGGCTCGGCAGCTCGGCGACCCGGCGGCTCGGGCGGCTCAGGTGGCGCGGCGGCTCGGGCGGCTCGGGTGGCTCGGGCGGCTCGGCAGTAGCTCGGCGGCGCCGGCGGCTCGGTGGTGACAGCGGGGCCGCGTGGGGACGGCGGCGGGGCCGGTAGAGGCGGCGCCGGGGCCGGGAAGGGTAGCGCCGGGGCCGCAGGGTAGGCGACGGGGCCAGCAGAGGCGGCGCCGGGGCCAGGAAGGGTGGCGCCGGGGCCGGGAAGGGCGGCGCCGGGGCCGCAGGGGTAGGCGACGGTGCCAGCAGAGGCGGCGCCGGGGTCGGGAAGGGCGGCGCCGGGGCCGCAGGGGTAGGCGACGGGGCCGCTAGGGCGGCTAGGAGGGGGGTCGCGAGGGCGGCTTGAAGAGGGCCGCGAGGGCGGCGCGAACGGGCCGCGAGGGCAGCGCGACGCGACGGAGCCGCGAGGGCGGCGGATCGGGGCCGCGAGGGCGGCGCGACGTGATGGGGCCGCGAGGGCGACGCGACGGGGCCGCTTAGGCGGCGCGACAGGGTCGAAAGAGGGGAGCGCGACTCGGGCAGAATAGAGCGCGCTCCGGGCAGGAAAAAAGGTGGTGGGCCCTAGGAACAGTTCCCACAGGGGAACCTGCTCTGATACCATGAGAAAATGAACGAGAATGAATTGACTAAGGGAAAGTTGGGTACAAGTACAAACCCTAGAAAGTCGTACCCCATATGTGCTACCCCACTATAGCCTACAACAGCTAGGTCATATAAATCTGACATAGCAAGCCTTTCTCTGAGGAGTCAGTGTAACACAAGTTTTAAAAATGACAACTCTGGCACCTGAAGAGCAAATTTGACTTCAACTCTGATGTGTACACCTTGGTTGCTGTAATGTTGCTTGAATGAATTTTCACATTTCATAGTAACATTGTACACAATCATCCTCTAGGATTGCAATCAACCTCGCTCATCGTCGCTCACATCATCCTCACGTTCGTCGTCCGAATTTGCCTTCTCCATGCCACTGTCGCTTGTAGGTAGGTAGGGTGCTGCTGATCTTGAAGGCCGCCGCTTCTTCTACTTGCGCCAGATGTCCACAACATCTGGCCACTCCACGTGGTAGTCGAGCATGTGGATGCTCATGAGTTCGGTCAGGCGTGTGTCGTTGAGAGTCGTGCGCTGCCAGCTCTTGATGATGTTTTGGCGTGAAAAACCACGTTCGCACTCGACGGTGCTGAGTGGCAGGACGACCAACGCCTGCCACAAGGTCATGATGTTGGGGTAAGTTCGAGGCCAGTCGCGGGTCTTCAGCATGTTAGTCAGCGCCTGGAAGAAGTCCTCGTCCTCGTGGTGCGTCTTCATGATGTGACAAAAAGTTTTCAGCTCAAGTTCGGCTGCCCGCAGATCGAATCCTGCCATTAGAAAAGGCAACGGGATGCAAGTGTACGCAAAGATAAGACTTCTGTGGGACTATTTAATTCGTACAATCCTGCAAGCGTGCAACAAGATTTTAACAAGTACCTGGCAGTTGGTGGTTGAAAAGTTGCGAGTTCTCGCGAAGCCAGGTGGCGCAACGTCGCGCCCGTGTCTCCGGATTTGGCGGCCACTTGTCCACCCTGAAAAGCTTCGTGCCGCCCAGTCGACGCAGATCCCACATGCGGTGCTTGAGGTTGTACACGACCTCACGGGCGAAGGCCTTGCCCATTTTCACGCAATCTGCCACGGTACCGCCGTACTTGTGGGATTTGTCGGGCAGCTCGCTGAGCTCAATGGTGTGTTTGACTGGTCTGCCGCTAGCGTCCACACCTTCCACCTTCACCTTCTTCTCTCCTTTCTTGACACGTGCCATGAATGGCGACAAGTGGGGGCTCAGTCCCGCCCCGAAAGAGCCCTCGTTGTCGATGTAGCGGTGCTCTATGAGGGACACGACACAGTCGACCTCCTCTGAGACTTGAGTCACTTCCACCTGTGGGACAGGGCCACGCAAAACATTTGGTTCTTAGATCGGGAAGTTTATTTAAAAGGCAAGACGCAAAACACTAGTGTCAACTAGAAACATGCCTAAAATTTACCTTCCGGCGCTGGAAAAACCGATTGAGGGAGTTCAACTCCCCCAAGACATCTGCCAGGAAGTACAGGCAGAAGTGAAACTTCAGTGTCTGCACTACCGCGGCGATCTTGTGCTTGTACTCCAGGAACAGCACGATTGCCGACCCCAAAATCTTGACCAGCCGAAGGACTGCGTCGACACGGGAGAGCCATCGCACGTCGAACAAGCCCTGGTGTTCAAGGTTGGTGCTGTGGATCACGAGTTGCAGCTCCTTGAACCTCTCGTACCAGGGCGTTGATCTCCCCACGATCTCGCCAAGGGCCCGGATGGTTTTTTCCACAATGTTGAAGTCAGTGAACTGCTCGACTGTCTCCTTCACAGCGAGTGCTTCACTGCAAGCAATAAAGGAATGCATGAAGGCGATTTTCAAATAACCGAAACCGGTCACATTTTCAAAGCGTCAAACGAATCACTTTGCTGACTAAACAGGTAACACATACCGATGCGCAATGCAGTGACACCCGACAATGTGGGGGATGCGGACGCGCAATCGTGTCACCAGTCCTGACGTGCTCCCGATCATCACTGCCGCGCCATCCGTGGACATGCCCGAAATCTTCATCAAGTCGACGCCGACTGTCTCGAGATGCTGGAGTAGAGCTCCCAGCAGGGCTGCAGCATCACACTCATGGACGGTAAGTAACGCTAGAAACTCGGTAACGACGACGTTGTTCTTCAGGAACGTGGCAAACACAATCATGTGCTTGCCACGTGCACGGTCGGTACTCTCGTCGCACATGAGGCCGATGAAGGGTGAGGCGTGGAGGTGGCGCAATTGTTCTCTGGTGAGGTACACGGTGAGAGTCCGGGCCATCTCGGAAAACCCGTACCTGCACACACACAGTGCACAATTCCTTAGCATCAAGAAACACAGATGTCTCGAGCGATTAAAATCCAGATAACCACTCACTGTGTGATATACACGCCGTAGCTTTGACGCGGAATGTTGGCGACCCCCTCCTCGGCGAGAAGCTGAACTATCTGTGGGTACATGTGGATGGGCGTGTCGGTACGGCATACGAATCGCATGGCTCGCATGAGGACCGCTACGCGACAACCTTCAGGATCACCCTTTGCGAAGTCTTCGATTTTCTTTTGGTCCGCGACCTTCTGCAACAGGTTAGCCTGCTTGTTCATCGCGTCTTCGTGTTTCCCGCTGTTCTCATGCCACCGCATGGAGCCAATCTGCAGATCACGTCCACCAGCGCCATTGCGACCGTAACGTGCGTTGTCCTTCCCGTGCTCCATGCAGACACTGCAGCGCAGACACGGGTCGCCCTCGGGAGTCTTGTCCAGAATCAGCCAATCAAACTTCGGCAGCCAGTCAGACTTGTAACTCTTCTGCGCCTTGAGGTAAGCCTTCTCCTTCTTCTCCTCGTCTGAAAGGGGACGAACGGGGGGCGGGGCAGGACGGGGAGGGGGAGCAGCAGGCTTCGGCGGCGGTGTTTCCCACTGCAGAACTTGTTGCGTCATTCGTCGCTTTTTCGGCGCCATTGAGCCAGTCGACTCCAGAGTGGCCGCATCGATAACCTGTGTAGCAACCGTCGCCGCCGGCTCTGCAGCAACCTCGCGGCGCGGCGAGGCGACCCACTCCTCAATGCCTTCGGACTTTGCAGCATCAGTCATCGTGCGCGGAGATGGACACCACGCATCGTTCCCTTCCTCCATGTTGCCTGATTCCATGCGAGGCCGTCGCACCCATTCGGTACTGCCATCACCCATCGCCTCTTCATCGCGAAGGTGAGCTTGATGCACGCCGCGCAAAAACTGAAGGCCAGTCACGGGGCGTGTGCTACACGACGGCATGTCGTCTAGATCAGCCGCGTCTCCCTCGGCGTTGCTACAATCCATGGTCGTCGTGGCTAAAGAGAGCTACTGGGGGTGGGGCTGTGGCTGGAGAAGCCCACTGCCCAAATGCTAGACAGGTGTGTTGTGGGTCACGGCAATGGGAACAAACATAATGGGAGGAGGAATGGGGTTGGTGGTGAGTGACCGCGTCTCCCAGCCGAGCATCAGGTGCACCGGTGTGCACCGCGCACGAAATTGGTGCCCCACGTAAAGTTGCCATATGATGCCTGTAAGTTGAGTGTTGTTCATTACTGATGGAGTACGCAACGCCAGCGATGTATCGCGTGGGTGGCTGCCTGCGTGCGCTGACTTGAAAGATGCCACTCCGGCCAATCAGAAACTAAGGTAGTGCCAACACACGAGTGAAACGAGATTGATATCCCTTGCGCTTCGGTGGGAAACCGGTAGTATGGGGATAAGGGGGAATGTGGGGGTTCGGTGGTGCATGTATCCCCTGTACAGAGGAAACTCAGTATCCTGGAAAGAAACCCTGGCGCACCAGGATGACCCTACACAAAAACTCTGACAAGTCAGAGAACAAGTAACTCTAAAAAAAATTACCCAGAGGGTACAGAGTGCCCTACCAAAAACCACTCTGATTTTCAGAGAAACAGAGTAAATAACACTGATAAAATATGCCCTGGTCCTACGCAACCCTTCCGTCGTTAACGTCGAATCTTGTTTTATTAAAACTTGTAGTAGAAAGTTAATATTAGGGCGTATTCCTAGCTTCGGGTCATCCGTTGTTTGTGTCATCCGAAATTGTGGGAGCCAATCGGAAAGCCCGCGGTTCCAGATTTGAATTTTTCGATTGGATCCCACAATTTCGGATGACATGAAGGCGGGATGACCTGAAGCTAGGAATACCCCCTTAATTTATTATAGGTTTGAATTCGGGTCCCAGTCTTATCTTGTTGAGGGGGAGTTTAATGAAAAAGAATAGTGCACAATGCACTAGCCAAGAGGTCTGGGTGAAATCTGACCTACGGTACGCGAAGCACTGGTTCAGTGTACTACCGTAACATCCATTTGAGCACGCGAGACTGAGCGTAGCGAGTCGCCGTGTTACCCATCCGCACCACACGGGCTTCCAATCATCCAGGAGAAGCGCCTTTCTGCTTGTCTGCCAGTTGTACATACCTCGTTTCCTCTGCGCCACTGCGCCACTGCCACTGCCCACCGTGCTCTCATGTCCGCCGCGGCAACGCCTGTCCTGCCCGCGCTGCCGTGGCACTCGCAGCGCCTCACTCATCCGCTCCGCAGTTCGCCATTAGCCTCCCCTCACCACCACTTCCCCACAACACCCCGCCGGCCCGTCGTCGTTGCCACGGCCCTCGAAAACCCCGCCGTTGCTCAGCCTGGGGCTGCATCTTCACCTGCTGCTGCTACGCGCACCGCATGCGACGTCGACTCTCCGGCACGACAGCCCCTCGCCGCCGCGAATGACGTAACCCTAAGCCTCCGCGCGCTGCTCGCCGGTCCCGCGTCCGCCGCGCTCCTGCTCCTCCTTGTCGCGCACGGCTTCGCGCTGCCGCCCGTTGCCGCCGTTGCCTCCGCCGCAGGAATGCCCGCGGGCGTGGCGGAACCCGCGGCGGTGGAGGAGGTGGGGGGGATGCGCACGTGCTCCGCGGGTTACGGGGAGGGACAGGCGCAGGGATGGTGCGCGCAAACGTCAGCGGAAGACGCGAATGGCGCCGCGAGCCCGGGATTGACGAGCGGAGAGCGGTTTGGGCTGCCTGAGACATTACGGAACCGATACGTGCTGCTCCGGCACGGGCGGAGCCTGGCCAATGAGAGAGGACTGATCGTCAGCAGCCTGGTGAGTCGCGCCCGCCCTTCCGCCCTCCTCCCCCCCGCTGTGCGCGTGTGTGCCGCCTACTACCCACCTGCCGCCTCCCCAAGCACTGCTGCCTTTCCCCCCGCTCCTCCCTGCCCAAACCACCCCTCTCCGCCTCCTCTCCCCCCCCCCCCCCCCCCGCCCCATCCTCCTCTCCCTCTCCCCCCTCTTCCCCTCATGCACGGCAGGAGAACGGCGTGGCGGCGGAGTTTGGGCTGGCGGCGGAGGGCAGGCAGCAGGCGCAGCGCGCAGGGCGCCAGCTGAGCGAGGTGAGTGGGGGAGGCTGGTGCGCAGGTGAGAGGGGGAGGTGGGCGGGGAGGCGGGGTCGTGCGTGGTGAGATGGCGCGTGCACCCCGGGACAGAAAGCATGCACGTGAATGCGTTGGCCCCCAGGTGGCGCACACAGGCCGCTGCACGGCACACGCTCATGATGCTCATCCCGCTCCCCCCCTGCTGTGTGCCCCCACCCCCCCCGCTGTGCTGTGTGCCCCCACCCCCGCTGTGCTGTGTTCCCCCAACCCCGCTGTGCTGTGTGCCCCCAACCCCACTGTGCTGTGCGTCCCCATCCCCTCATGCTGGGCTGTGCGTGCTGCAGCTGTTGGAGCAGCGCGGAGTGGCGGGGAGGGACGTGGTGGTGTTGGCGTCGCCCTTCAGCCGCACGCAGCAGACGGCCGCCCTCGCTGCCAAGGAGCTGGGCATCCACGTGCTCGGCACGCGCTTCCAGGTGGGGTGGGTGGGCTGGTGTGGGGTGGACTGGGGTGGGCTGGGCTGGGGTGAAGTGGGGTGGGCTGGGGTGGGCTGGGGTGGGCTGGGGTGGGGTAGGGTGGGGTGGGGTGGGGTGGGGTGGGGTGGAGTCCGCATGCCATTCCTTCACATCACACCCTCTTTCTCCTCCACTTCCCCCAGCCACCCCCTCCTCCACCTCCCTTCCTCCACCCCCCTCTCCCCCCCTTGCTCTATGCCTTTCCCTGCTATGTTCCTTTGGTCGCGTTGCTGCTTCGCTCCTGCTGGCCGCTGGTCGCTGCTCACGTGCCCGTCATCTGGCTCCGGCCAGGATCGCTCGTGCCCTTGGAGTTCTCGGTCAAAGTCACCACCTCCCGCTGTCTCCGTGCCGTGCCACCCACCCGTTCACTGCTGTCGCTCTCACGCCTTGTTCTCTCTCCCTTGGTCTCCAGTGGCCAATTCGCGTTGACCACGTGTGCACGGTGTTATCTGTTGTGGAGGTGCCTCACTGGCAAACTCCGGTGTGCATGGTATGGTCATTGCATGACCCTCCCGGATGTGAATGCCGAATGGCATGGTCGTTTTGAGAATGTGAATGCCACGTGGCGTGCAGACAGCAGAGGAGCTGAGGGAGCGCTACTTCGGGCGCCACCTGGAGCTCAACTCGCATGACCTCGTATGCGCCCTGCTGCCACGTCCTCTCTCTCCTTCTCTCCCTTGCTCACTGACGCGTGCACGCGCATCACACGCTCACCAGCAGCCTGATATCTTTGCACTGTACTGCCGTCCTTTCTCTAACGCACCAGCATTGCTCCTCTCATGCATTCTCCAGCTCTGTCCTCCGCTTTCTCCACCCGCTTCTCCCCTCTGCGTTGTGTGGCAGTACCCAGCAGTTTGGGTGGACGACAGGAAGGACGCCGCATTCCGCCCGGGTGGCGACGGGGAGAGTGTGGTGGCCGTGGCGCAGAGAACGGCGCGCCTCATTCGGCACATTGAAGAGGATCTGGACGGGTGGGTGGACCTGCATGCACAGAAAAGCATGCATGCATGGGGAGCACTAGCTAATGAGGGGTTTCTTTGTGCAGGAGTCTGGCAGATCGTTTTACTACACCTTAAGGGCGTTAATAAGCTGTGTTGGGCACTAGCTAATGAGGGGTTTCTCATTGTGCAGGAAAGTGGTGGTGCTGGTGAGTCATGGAGATACTCTACAGATCATCAACTCTCTTCTCTACTCCTGTGATCTACTGCCGCCCTCGCTCGTTCCACCCAAAGGCATTGTGGAATCCGCACCATCTCCTGATCCCACCATCCACTTGCCTTTGCATAGGCTGTTTGCCTTTCAAACAGGGGAGTTGAGACCCCTTAATCTCTAGAGCTACAGTTGAACTTTACGTCAGGGGGGTGCATTGCATGTCCACAATCTGAAGGCTTACCGCTTGTAAGACACTTGAAGGTTGATATATTTTAGTGTTTTTTATTGATGGATAATTGTATAGTATACCAGTACGCGTTCCACTGCTACATCACGAGCCTCACCAGCTGACTCGAAGAATTCAGCTATGGGCACCGAGGCTCTGTAATCAAGCATCTCGAAGCCCCCTTTGTCATGGCTCAGCGTCCGCAGATAATCCACGGGAAAATATGCCGCACGTAATCAACAAGGGTCTCGATAACATGTTTGTAAAAAAAAACGGGTACGGTCACTGCAAAGGGTGTCTTCACGTGTGTGATGCACGTTTCACAAAATCAGTCACAATCAACTGGGAAAAAATAACGCGAATGGTCAGAGATGAAACTCCCGCCCAAAATAGATAATACCCAAAAACGAACCTGGATGCATTTTCGGATGAAACAACCCTAAATACAATTCGCCAGGTGTTTAGGGTTGATCCGTTCCCAAACCGCATCCGATTCCGAATGGGTTTTAGTTTTTTAGAAGTTAGCTGATTGGTTCGGCGCGAGCGGGAATTTTGTAAAGTTTCAAGAGTTTTTGGCGGGAGTTACATGTGTGACCATTCGCGTGATTTTTCACCTGCTGTGAGTTACTGAATCCGTGACCCCACTTACCAAACCCGTCAGCAAACCCGATAGACTGACCGTACGCGTGTTTTTTACCACTTACGTTATCGAGTCCCATTTTCGTTACTTGTAACATATTTTCCCATAACCCACTTTGATTTGGCGCAGCAGGTTTGGAAACCCCACCACCTAGTTCGGTCCTGTGAGCTACTCGCCGAGCCCAGACGTGACCGCAGCAAGGCAGCCCGAACCTCCCTGACCGAAACTGCTGTGGTGCGCTGACACACCCAGCTGGAACTTCCAACAATTGCGAACCGCCCGCACAGCCTGAGTGCGCCGGGGAAAAAAGCGGGGATTCCTGCCTCCCCACACCACCAGGCTTCCCTTTATTCTCAACCTCACCCCACCGCTCTGTCATTTGCCGCACCGCTCTCCACTTCCCCTTTTTCCTGCTTCTTGCTGTGCAACGATATCATCCGCCTTCCACCAATAATCCTCACCATCATCCTAAAAGTTGTCTCGAATCGAAGCACGCACGCGCGTTACGGCCACCACCAACGTAGTCAGATGCCATGCACGCATAGCTAGCGGTGACAGTGAATTATTGCGTTAATATGCTCTCGTAGACCCGAAGCACACGACGTACTCGTTATGGAGAAGTCTCCGAGTCATAGTCAATGGCCCGCCTGCCCTAAGCTGGGCACAACGGCGATGGTGCGCGCGGCGGCGCTGCTGCTGGTGCTGCCGGCCTTGGCGATCCTGAGCGTCGTGGATCCCGAGGTGGCGAAGCCGGCGTGGGACGACGGCGTCGTGGACGGCGTCGACGCCGACCTCTTCCGCCGCGCCATGGTGCAGATCGACGACGCGCGTCTCGCCGAGCCGCGCGGCAAGATTGCCTTTCTCTTCCTCGTGCGCGGCCCGCTGCCGCTGCAGGAGATCTGGCACCGCTTCTTCCAGGTGACTCCCGTGTGACTTTTGTGCTCCATGTGGCTCCATTCTTCCAATTGACTCGGCATTCGCTACCCCGAGCTCCCGTTTTCAAGGGGCGAGCATTGCGGGTTGTAGTTCTCACCGAACTTCCCCATCCATGCCTCGGCCCCCAGCGCTCCGTCTAAGTCGTCAGCGTTCCACCGCTTTTGTTCGCTTTCACACCCCACTCCACCCCCACCACCACCAACTTACCCTAACACCGCCTCAAGCGTGTGCGTCCCGCCCCGCCCCCCATGCCGCTCCGCGCCCTCCCCCCCACCTCCCCCACCAGGGCCACGAGGCGCAGTTCTCGGTGTACATCCACGCGTCGCAGCCCGACTTCGACTGCGACCGCGCCGTCAACTACGCCGCCTTCCGCGGCCGCCAGATTCCGAGCGTGCCGGTGAGGCAAGCGCAAAGCGTTGGCCCGAGCAGCGTGCGTCCCGGCGCATGCCGCGCCGCCGAGCGCTGCCCGCTGCCCCTGTACGTGCGGCACGCACGGTGGTGCAGCATGTGGTGTGTGTGGATTCTTTCAACCTTTTTCGGTCAGGCCAGGAGGAAATGTGCGCTGCAGCGTGCGCTGCAGGAGATGTGTTTTTTTGTTTCTCACCGCCACCCCTCCACCGCCACATCCCCTGCTCTCGGTCCTTGGCATGCCACGTGGCAGATATCGTGGGGAGGGCCCAACCTGATCCGCGCGGAGAGGCGGCTGCTGGCGGCGGCGCTGGCGGACCCAGCGAACCAGCGCTTCGTGCTGCTCTCCGAATCGTACGCCATGACTCCCTGTGCTCCCGCATCGCCCCCGCCCGCCCTGTGCTCCCGCTCCTTGCGCTCTTGCGCTCGCTGTTTCCTCCTCTTGGAGCATGTATGCTCGTGTGCGTGCACTACTGCTCGACTCCGCTCCGTCATTCCCCCACACATTCCACAAAAGCCACTCCCCTCCACCACCAACTCCGACCCCTCCCTTTTCTCTTGCCCCCCCCCCTCCTCCTCCCCTCTTCTCCCCTCCCCTCCCCCCCATGGCGTGCGGCGGGCAGGTGTGTGCCGCTGTTCAACTTCTCCCACGTGTACGACTACCTCTTCGCCTCGCCCACCAGCTTTATCACCAGGTGGGCGCATTGCCACGTGGGGCGTTGCCACGTGGCGCATTGCCACGTGGGGCATTGCCAGGTGGGCGGATTGCCGGGTGGGCGCATTCGCATTGCTGGGTGGGTGGGTGGCCTCACCAGGTGGGCAGCATTAGCGTGCTATCCGCAAGGGATGCGAGCTGCATTACAGATAGATCCAGCAGCACCAGCAGCTAGGACCTTGCCCTTCATCCCCCCGTGCTCCCTGCCCCAGCATTGCCCCCCATATTCCCAAAAATCCCCACCCCAACCATCCCCACCCCCTCCCCCTGCTGCGTGCGCGCACAGCCATCCCAGTGAGTGGCGGTACCAGCCGGGCATGGCGCCAACTGTCAACCGCAGCCAGTTCCGCAAGGGCTCGCAGGTAAGCGGTGTGAGGGGTGTTGTGCAGTGAATTAATGTGCAGTGAGGTGATTTGTAGGGAGGTTCTTCGCAGTAAGGTGCTGTGTAGTGAGGGGTGCCGCGGTTTCGCTTTCCACACCACAATCTGAGAGGAGAGGTGAGTGTTGTCGCACACACCGTGTGCGCGTTGCCACTCGCCCTGCCGCACATACCCACATTCATTTCTGTCCTTGACTGCAACGGTGCTTGATTGGGTTTAGCACTGTAACTTTGTGTCCTGCCTGTGTGTGCCCCACCCGTGTGTGCCCCACCCGTGTGTGCCCCACCCATGTGTGCCCCACCCGTGTGTGTACGTACCTTAATTGCGCCCCTGTGGTGGGGCGGGCAGTGGTTTGCGTTGACTCGCCGCCATGCGGACATGGTGGTGGCGGACACACACGTGTATGACGCCTTCCTCACCAACCACGCCATGGTCAGCCCCGCCCGCCCTCCGATCCCATGCACGCCATGCACGCCCCTCTCTCTCACGCATGCCCCTCCCATGCACGCCCCTCCCATACCCCCCCTCCCACTCCCTCTAATGCCTCTCCTGCTCTTTGTTCACCTTGCTCCCTGCTTTCCTTCACTCAAGCCTGTTTTGCTCTCATAGGCCCCCTCTGACTGTGCCTCTCTCCTCTGCTGCCCTGCGACTGCTGCGCCTCGCCTCCACCACACCAACAACAGTAATTGTCCATCGGACTCTCTCTTCCATCCCTGTGCTCCCCCCCCGCCTGCAGATTCCTGACGAGAGCTACATCCAGACGCTCCTTCTGGTACCTTCCCTGTGCCCTCCTGTCGATTGCTTTTCTGCTTTCCTTCGCTAGTGCAGCTGCGCCTCTTCCTCTCGCCTCTTTCCACAGCGTGCATTCTTCCACTGGTCCTTCCTTCCACCATGTGTACCAACCGCCGTCCGCCCTTGCTCCCACCCCTCCCGCCCACCCTGCTCTGCCCCTGCCCTGCAATGTGCTCCTCCTCCCACTGCGCCCCTCACCTCTCACCCCGCATCTCTCCCTGCACTTGCTCTCTTCCCAACGCCCCTTCCCCACTCACCAGATGCAGGACCCAGGGGGCGTGGAGCCGCGGGGGGTGACGTTTCTGCACTGGCAGCCGACAGCGGGGCGGCACCCGCTCACCATCACGGCGGAGCAGCTCACGCCCGACTTCCTGCGCTCCATCCAGCGCACGCGCCTGCCACCCAAGGAGGCCATTGGCTTCCTGCGCGTGCCCGCGCCGCGCCTCTGCCAGCTGGCGGGCCGCCCCACACACTGCTTCCTCTTCGCGCGCAAGTTCAATGCCTCCGCCATCCCCGCCCTCCTCGCCCTCTCCCCCGCCCTCGGCTTCTAGACCACCCCGTTCCCTTCCTCCTCTCTTGTCTCCTGGGCTTTGATACCCGAAACCCTGGACTTTTTACCCTGGACTCCGGTGGCCCCTGGACTCCAGTGGCCCCTGGTCTGTGCCGTGCCGCCATGGCTGCCGCACTTGTGTAAGGTACTGTTAGAATGAGGAATGGATGTTCCATTGATGTTGGTTGGGGTACATATAACAAACCCTAACTTCTGTACCCCCTAAGACAAACCTCACTACAGGCTACAACATTTGACACACCCCCATAGCCTAAGTGAGGGGTGTCTAGCAAAAACAAAAAAAAAAGAGTACGGTCACAAGACCAGTCCAAAAGAAAACAAAGCTCAGGGTGGATCACAACGTCACCACACACTCTGAGCACAAGCAACAGTGGCCACAAGGCCAGTCCAAGAGATCACAAGTATATATAGTAAGTGTACAGACGAAGCAGGCAATAAACTCAAGTCTACGCATGACTAGAACCTGTGTCAACAAGGCCTAACTGCACACAACACCTCTGGTGGTCACAAGGCGGAAGCGCCTTGGTGAAGATGTCTGCAGTGTTGGCCTCGGACTCTACAAACTCGAAGCGAGCCTGTCCACGCCTCTGCAACTCTCGCAGAAGAAAGTACCTGACGTGAATGTGCTTCACTCTGCTCTCCAGTCGCGGCTCACGACAGAGGAGGATCGACGCTTTGTTGTCAGTAAACAAGGTCGGTGCAGAGCTCGGCCGCTCACCAAGGTCGGCGAGCAAGAAGGTCAACCACCGCAACTCCTGTGCCGCCATGGCACCAGCGTAAATCTCAGCCTCAGCTGTAGAGGTCGAGACAGAAGAGGAGCGCGTGGAACGCCAGGAAACAGCTCCAGAACCCAGACTGAAACAGTACCCCTGAGTAGACCTGTGAGTCTCAGCGTCGTCAGCGTAAGAGGAGTCACAGTGACCAGTGAGTACGACAGACTGCTGCCCTCCAAGAACTAGCCCCACGCCTGATGTAGTCGCTAGGTACTTCGCCACCCTCACAGCTGCCGTCCAGTGAACAGGACGGTGTCTCCCTGGCGCAACAAAGCGCGCAAGGATGCTGAGAGGGAAGGCGAGGTCCGGGCGAGTACAAGTCATCAGGTACATGAGGCAACCCACAAGCTCTGCGTAGGGACCACTAGGCTCAAACGGCTCGTCAGGAAAGGGACCAGTGAGTCTGTGGTCAACAGCTAGAGGTGTGCGCTGTACGGTGGAGTGCTGAAGCCCGAACCGCTGAAGGACCTGCTGCACCATGTGTGACTGTGAGAGTGTAATGGTGCGAGCGGCTCTGTCCCTGGTGATCTGCAGGCCAAGGTAGTGGCGCAGCTCACCAAGATCAGTGCACGTGTGTCTCTTCTGCAGTTCGGACTTCACGTCTGCCAAAGCAACCCTGTCCGAAGTGGCAAAAACGAGGTCGTCGACGTAGACCAGAACAAAGAACGGTGTGGAGCCACGACGAACGAACAGCGACGGGTCGGCAGAAGACGGCTGGAACCCAAGGTCAGAGAGGGTAGAACGCAGAGTGTCGTGCCACTCACGAGGGGCCTGGCGAAGACCGTAAACAGGTCGCCTCAGCCTCCACTGGGTCCCAGGAGGGAAAGTGCCAGTGAAGGCCGAGGGACGACGCAACCAGACCTCCTCGTGTAGACTGCCCTGAAGGAAAACAGTGGAGAAGTCAAGAGAGTGTAACTCGTAGTCTCTCTGTGCTGCTACGTGTAGTAACACCCGAAGAGTGGTCATCTTCGGGGTAGGTGCGAAGGTCTGAAAGAAGTCAACTCCCTCGCGCTGACTGAAACCTCTAGCCACGTAGCGCGCCTTGAAGACCGGGGGAGATCCCGGTGGCCGCTTCACCCTGTAGATCCACATGCCGTCGACTACGTTCGCCCCAGGGGGGGGAACCTCATCGACGTAGGTGCCTGTGGATCTGTAGGAGGCCATCTCTGCGTCCATGGCAGCTCTCCACTGAGAGGCCCAAGGCCCTGACACTGCCTCAGCGTAAGTGCGAGGAGTCGGAATGTCAAGGGCGTCGGGGTCACCCTCAGGGGCGAGGAGCATGGCACAGAGATGAGGGGAAGCGGCCGCCAGGAACTCTAGCTCAAACTGCCTGTCCTCTAGGGCGTCACAGCCAAGGGCAGACACACCCCCGACGACCAGAGGACTGGTAGGAGGAGCAGCCACAAGCGTGGTGGCGTAGTCAAGGTGGCGGGTAGAGGCAAAGTCAGTAACTGCGGCAGTAAGAGCGGACACAGAGGACACAGAGGCACGAGGGTGAGTAACAAGAGAGGCGAGAACACGAGAGAGAACAGGACGGTACGTGCGGTAGTAGTCAGTGACAGGAGTAGGGAGCAACACAGTGAGGGCCGACTCAGGAGGAGACGGAAGCACAGACTGAGACGGACGAGGTGGACTAGAAAGAAGGAAGGCAGTACGAAGGTCAGTGAAGGGAACAGGAGACGAGGGACGAGCACGAGGGGAGCGACGAGTAGCCCAAGAACGAGACGGAGGAGGAGAGGACAAAGGCGGAGAACTGGGGAAAACAGCGGGGGAGGAGTCAGGAGGAGGAAACGTGGGACCGTAGACAGGAGGAGAGGCGGAGGAGGGAGGAGAAGGGGAGGGGAGACCAAGGATCCGAAGACCCGAGACAGGAGGAGGAAGTGGCTGCTGCTGCTGCGGCTGCGACTGCTGCTGCTGCGGACGCGGCTGCTGCTGGGACTGCTGCTCCTGCGGGTCCAGCTGCTGCTGCTGCTGCTGCTGCTCCTGCGGCTCCAGCTGCTGCTGCTGCTCCTCCAGCCGCTGTAACTCCCTCTCCTCTCTCTCCAACGCCAGCTGCTCGTCACGGGCACGGCGAACACGAGCCTGGTGCCTAGTCGGGTAGGGGTGGGGGGGTGGAGTAGTGTCCGAAGCAGCGGCAGCTCCAGAGTCCACCTTAGAAGAACTAGGCGCACCACCCCCAGAGGCAGCACTAACACCAGCTCCAGAACCAGGCTCACCTGAACCCGAAGGAGGCGCACCCTCACCCCCAGACGCAGCACCCCCAGTGTCCGCGCGGCCAGCACCAGCTCCCGGACGACAAGAGTCCTCTGCACCCACCGGGTCAGCTCCAACTCCAGAACCAGAAACTCCAGCTCCAACCCCAGCTCCAACTCCAGCACCCCCAGAACCAGAAACTCCAGTGCCAACTCCAGCTCCAACTCCAGCTCCAACTCCAGCACCCCCAGAACCAGAAACCGGTACAGGAACAGGCGCCACACCAACCTCTCGAGAGCTAGCACCAGCGGCACGCTGCGAGGAGGACTGTGGGGAGGGAGGCTGTACCGGAGGGGCTACCGAAGGAGGAGGGGTAGCCTGGGACACACCTGACGGGGCTGGACCAGGGGGGGGAGGCTGTACCGGGGGAGCAGGAGGGGGAACGGCAGTCAGGAAGAGGGGGGGAGGAGGAACCGGGAGACCTCGACTGGGGTACCTGACGTAGTACGGAGTGGACTCCTCGAAACGGACGTCACGGGAGTCAAAGAACCGGTGAGAGGGAGGGTGGTAAAAGGTGAAGTCAGAGGAGTCCTCAGGGAAACCAAGGAAGACACAGGGGACGGCACGAGGCGAGAGCTTGTCCGCGGAGGTGTCGCGGACAAGAGCCAAGCACCCCCAGACACGAAACCGCGACGCAACACCAGGGGACCCTGTCCAAAGACTGGTCGGTGAAACCTCTGGTCGAGAGACACGTGGCCAGAGGTTCAGCTGGTGCGCGGCGTACCTGACCGCATAGGGCCACAGAAAATGGGGGGCACAGGCGTGAGTCAGGGAGGTGCGGGCGATCTCCATGACCAGGCCTATGCGGCGCTCAGCAACCCCATTCTGCTGTGGGGACTCTGGAAGCGTCCAGGACTGACGAATGCCCTGCTCGCGACAGAATCCAGCGAGAATGCCGGAGCGAAACTCACCCCCGCGGTCGGAGTGGAGACAGCTGACACGACGAACACGAGTGTCCTCAGTGGTGAGCAACCACCTGATCAGCGTAGAAGTCACCTCAGACTTCTTCGCCAGAGGGAACACTGTGGTGTAGCGGGAGAAGTCGTCAACGACCACGAGAAAGTAACGCTCACGCTCAGGGCCTAGACGAGGGGCTGGGCCCCAGACGTCCAAGTGAAGCGTCTCAAAAGGCTCGGTGGCCGGACGAAGGGAGGAGGAGTGAGGGGTGGCGCGCAGCCTACCCTCGACGCAGGGACGACACGGCGGCGCAGGCGAAGGCGGCAGCGACGGCAAGACACGTGGGAGGCCTAGGACAAGACGCTGACTAGACATAGCGCGCAGACGTGGAAGGGACGGGTGCCCCATCCGGTGGTGCCACAGAACGGTGGGGTGGGCAAGCGACCGGCAGGAGCACGACGCAGCGACTGGAACAGACGTAGGAAC